CCTTAATGTGAACGTTTACGGCAAGAAGCAGCTCACCTGATGATGCAAGCCATTACGAACTGGATTAAGTGTTCTAGCCGGAGCTATGAAGTCACAGGGAATCAGCCTAGTGCCTTGATGAATGAGTTGATAGAACGCATGTTGACCGTTAGGTGCCGGGTTCACCCCACACAATTGGTCCAGTAGAGTAGTCCACTCGGTGGCCTTGCCTTGAAGAAAAGTTTTGGAGTTTCAGACGTTTGTAAGACTCCAGACTCGTAAGAGCTCCATAGTTCAAGACTCAAACAATGCAGACGGCTACTATGACAGATCGCGCTCCAGTTCTAATCAATGGACCGCTGAATTTGTAAATCGGGTGAGTATTATGCTTCGACTTTTTTGCTGATATCTTTCCACAATCTTAACAACTACTGGGACAATATCGCTCGAAATAATTATGGCCGCGCTCATAATTCGCGACCAGATCACTTGGATCGCGTTACCGGATCGCGAAGTATGAACGCGCTCTAATCGATGAGACTTCTTCAGTTAGCAGTCGTAGGGGTCCAATGATTAGTGAAGGAGCGCGCTTGGTCACAGCCGCGGAACTGAATTATTCGAGTCACAAAGAAACTAGTCAGAAGGAAGAAATAATCGAAAAAATAATAACATTAATACCTAGTGACGAATTTTCCGTTACTCTCCATGTCACCTTGCTGGAAGTAGGCGGCGAACCGATGAAGATATTGGTCATACGGTAGCAGCGCATGTGTTTCCGCACCATATACGTTGATGTATAGGACTCCTAACATTGCCATGATAACTGGTACCTAAAATAAATACATGGAAATCGGAAATTCTAAGGCGTCGACGCAGCAGTTCAGACTTCGCGATGACGCGCGTCATCGCGAGGTCTGGACGCTGCTTGAAAAAGGAAAAAAAGCGCTCACATTGCGATCGAGGGGCTCGTTGACAAAGTGTTGATCCGCCGCATGTGCACCTTCTAGAAGTTTTCTGAAGTTGTCAAATCCGATGTGAACAGCAATAGAGAGACCAATCGCCGACCACAGGGAATATCTTCCTCCTACCCACTGGAAAAGGTCGTTACAGCATAACTACACGATTGAATTTTGATTGCAATGGACTCACATCCCAGAATTCAAACATGTTTGAGGGGTCAATTCCAAACTCCGTGGCTTTGGGGACATTGGTAGAAAGAGCTACGAAATGCTTGGCAACAGCACTCTTGTCTCCCGCCTGAAAACTCGTTTTCGAAAACTTTTTGGGAACAACAAAAAGAACTTGATCACCTTGTTGAGGAACCACGAGCTCGCTTTGCTGTTTCTGCATTAGTTATAGGTTTCTCTGAAGTGGTGAAGGTCTTCGATGCAATGAATGAACAATGTGGTTTCTGGATTGAGCTTCTTGGTAACCTAAACAAGCATCTTCCCTGAACGACGGCTTACTTGCGGAAAAACCGTTAGAACGTACCTCAGCAATATGAGTGCCATCCACATTGCTCACAAAGTGAACGTTGGGCCCAATTTGATAATGTCGGAGAGCCAGCATGACCATCAGCAGGACCTCTAAAAGTTACACAGCACAAAAACTCTTCGCTGAACATGTGTCACTAATAAAAAAACTGGGCACACCCAGTGCAGGATGACGTGATTAGCAATGGGTAGGCACGTCCGGAATCAGTAAATGAAAATGTGTGGGTCCCATCAAAATATGGTGACGGGGGGGGAGGGGGTGGGCACGCTCGCACGTTTGCTACTTATCTTTGCTAGTTCTTATTGAATTACACGTCTCATCGTGATAAGACCTGTAGATTCTTGTCCAAAAGTCAACGAAACTCATGCTACTGCGTAACTTCACAGGAATTCACAGGTCTCCACGGGAGGCATCCGCAGTGATGCATGGGTAAAGCAGAATACCCCCACCAAGCCGAACTGCGCCGGCTCGTGATACGACCTTATCCCCTGACAGCGCACAAAAATACGACCTCAACGGTCCAGGAGAAGAAGCCATATGAGGCATGGCCGTATACAGAGCCAAAGGATCACCACTATGATCGCCAAAGAAGATAGGAAGCCTAGGCCCAGAAGTAGGTGCGACTATGCTGTTTTGAGCTAACTAATAAGCTGGTTAACGCCGCAATTCGCGCTCCAAAAGTTATGGCGCAGGTTAACGGGATATGCGGGTTCGAGTCCTGATTTGATCTGACGTTTGCATAACTCAGCATTCTTCTGAAGGTTTTTGAAGAATTTTTGGAAAACTGGGAGCTGAATACTTTGGAACGGTCCTCTTTCGGGTGTAGTATTTTGTGGTAGGTATTTTACTATTAATTGGAGGTGAAGATTTGAGGATAGAGAAGTGAACTCGGCGAATTGGGGTGTACTGATGCGATGGTCAGGTATAGCTACACTATGGGACACTTTCCCCATAGAGAAATGTCCCGAAATAGCAGTCACCAGCTGAATTTCTCTCTACCTATATCGTAAGTAATAAAGAACTTACGAGATCAGAGCCACCAATTCCAATATTGACAACATCGGTGATCTTGTGTCCTGTGTAACCGGTCCAAGATCCACTGATAATTTGATTACAAAAATCTTCCATATGAGCCAGAACTCGGTTTACATCTGGCATTACCTGCAAGAAAGCTCATTGTATCAGGAAGATATAAGGTTCATAGAACTCTCAATAATATATCGAAGTTGGGTGGATTCGCTGCAAGTCAGCGTTCTTGTTGAAGAAGTTATCCGAACATCTGTTTTATTGGTGGGAAAGCAGTGTTGAAAGGAATGGCCTTAGAAACACAGTGTACGAAAAGAAACAAGAATAATGTGAGTCCTATAACTGCTTT